TCTTTCCTAACAGAACCTCAATTTTGTTCAGCCATACAACCTCCCTCCATGCAGCCTCAGGGGAAGCTGACTATACCCCTTAACTCCCAGATGATTCCATTGGTTAAATGCTTCTTACAGTGATTGGTCAGAACAGGCATGTGACCCAATGAGACATAAACAGAAGTTTGCTGATAAGATTGAAAAAAAAAATCTTTTGTTTCACATAGAGTCATGGGAAAGACAGATCTTTTTCTTCCCTAGGACACTGACACATCTGCATAGTAGCCATTCTATTGCCAGCTTGATTGTGGAGCCAAAACTCAGGATCACAAAACAGAAATATAGAAGGAACCAGGTTCTTGAGGACATCACCAAAGAACTAATTTAACCAACTTTGAAGACATCCTCTCCCTGAACTTGTGGTTACATGAGCTATCACGCTTCCTTTTAAAGCCTCTCTGAGCCAGAAGTTCAGTTACTTGCAGCCAAAACCATCCCAAGTCAGAGAATTCTTACGATGTGCCAGCCACTGCCCTTACTACTCTGCAAGAATTATTTCCCTCTATCCTTGTGGCAGACCTGTGAGATGAATATTATCACTAACCCATTCTACAATTGAGAAAACAAAGTCTTGGAGAGATTAAATAATGTGCTCAAAATCAGTTGGTAAGGGGTGGAGACTAGATTCAAAATTAAAGCCCAGGGCCTGCACTTTTAACCTCTATGCCATACGACCCAGAAAAGGGAAAAACTTGCTCTGGAAGTACCATATGTCAGCATCACTCAGGGATTGAAATGGAGGTCTAGTGCTCTTTCAGTGCTCATGTGGATGGTGATGATTTCAGAGATCAGGAGTCAGTGTGGTCTCTCCCATCACCATTAAACCAAGGCATCTTTCTCATGGAACCCACAGTATGGCTTAAATGACTGGCCTTCTCTGTAATCATTGGCCACATTCTCTGGCTCTCTATGCTCATCTCCTTGCCACCTTTTTCTTCATTTCTGCCTTTTTAGCTCATTAATTGACTTTCTGCAGCCATTGAAGAGAGACATGTGATTCTCCTGGAAAATCCCCCATGGCAGGGACAAGATCATTGCCAGTGAGAAGTTCTCATCAGCAAGGAAATTAGGCTGTCTGCTGGGGGTGTGGAGGATGATTTGGCAAGTTTCCTATGTTAATTGGTTTCAGTCTTGATTCAGCAGGTCCCCCAAGCCAGGTGACAGCTCAACAATACCCAGCAGTTGCAGGCATGGAAGGAAGGCAAATGCTTGAAGCCGCTTTAAGTTGAGGATAAGTCACCAGGAGGTTTCCCATAGGGGTTTCGCAGGCCTTGTGGTGTGAGGGGACAGGCTAGTGATGGCAATTTCGTCATGCTAAAAGACAAACAGGCATGGGGAGCTTACCCTTGCATTGTGCGGTTCTGGAAGTGGGAAGGCAGTAGCATGTCATTTATGAGCATGGTCTGGTAATTAAGCAGATGTGGGTTTGACTCCAAGTTCAGTTACTTGTTAGCTGATGAATGCAAAAAGAGTGAGTAATAGAATTTGTCTAAACCTCAGTTTTCTCATCTATAAACAACAAGGGTAAGATGGTTGTAGGAGGGCGCCTGGGTGGTTCAGATGGTTAAGCGTCTGCCTTCAGCTCAGGTCATGATCCCAGGGTCCTGGGATCGAGTCCCGCATCGGGCTCCCTGCTCCTTGGGAGCCTACTTCTCCCTCTGCCTCTCTCTCTCTCTCTCTCTCTGTCTCTCATGAATAAATAAATAAAATCTTAAAAAAAAAAAAGATGGTTGTAAGAATTAGATGTGCTGAGCATTATTCCTGACACATAGTAAATGTTCAATGCCTTTGAAGATAATGATGTTGGCTGCAAAGATAATGATGATAAGGATGAAAAATTGAATAGAGAACATGTGTTAATTCCCATGGTCAAAGTTTCTCCTTCTTAAGGACAACTCCAGATAGATCCCAGCCTTATTCAAAATATCTGCTTCTATTCTGGCCCATGCCCCTGTGATTCTTCCCTCCATAAAGAAAGCACAAGTCAGTGTACTTGAACTTTATCCAAACACTCAACTGTCTCTATTGTGGCTGGCTACAAAGATGTTTCCTAAGGTATCAAGCTATGTTGATGGTGAATACCCACCTCAGCTCAGTAGAGCCAATTAGTTAGGCTACATACAGGGTTGGAAAAGGTGAACCAACACAGATATGGTTAGTTTCAAGAAGGAATGTTGGTTATAGGGTAACTGAGCCTCAGCATTCAAAGCTATTACAATGATCTTATCAGGTTCATGGTAAAAAGATTTGGAGCATCCATATTCAAATATTTCCCCAGGATTCCATTTACATCTACCATTGAATGTGATGTGGTTTTCCAGTGGCAAAAATATACATCTCTTATTTGATATGATTTCAGGAAAGATTTGTACTCAGGTTCCCCAAATCTATTGGTAGAAATAAGGCCGTGTGCAAATATCATATGAACAATGCATGAGCATCATCCTTAATTGGCTTCAGTTCATCTACTTTACACATAGCTGTATGTGTAAAGCTAAAATATATAAACAAAGTGATCCAGTGCAGAGTTACACTTCTGCTCCTTGGAGCCCTAGAGGTGTGACAGAGGTACTACCAAAGTTCTGGGGATAGAGGAGCACTGGGAATGCCCACTCCTAACTTCAGTCAGAGCATTTATTTCTGTTTTACGTATTGGGTTTCCACATAGCATTACTTAAAACTTACACACAAAAAACATTTGGAAATCACTCTCCTAGTTGAACCCACTCATATTTCAAAAGGGGAAACTGCAGCCCAGAGAAGTCAACTGACTTGCCCGAGGTTGCAGTTAGCTACTAATGGAATCTAGACCAGAATTCCAGACTTAAATATCAACACTCTTGCCCAAGAAAAGCTATGGAAGCATTATCCTACAAACATGTACGTCTAATCTTCATGTTTGTCGCTGTCAACATCAACGCACACTATTGTCACATAATTACTTAAGAGAGAGTGGTCCTGTATTTGGTCCCTTGGGGCTTAGGGAGCAGAGGGTGGGGAGGATATCAGGGAAAGCGTCCTGGAGAACTGAAGTCTGAAGAAAGTTTTGAATGGTGCATATGTGTTTACCAGATGGAAAAGGCAAGAAATGGCAGCATTCCAAACATTAAAGCTCTTTGATATTGAGAATATTATAAATGTCAGGCATATTGTTTTTACCAAATTACCATGTGCATCAGTCAGAATCCAGTGAGGAAACAGGAAGCCTATTAGTATTCCAAATACAGAGGATTCGACCCAGGGAGCTAGTTACGAAGTCTGGGAAGTGCTAAAAGAAGAAAAAGAGAAAGGGAGGTAAGGCAGAACCCAGGAGCCTGGAGAAAGCAGCTCCTTCTACAAGGGCTGAGACAGAGACGAGAACATGTTCTCATCCAAGCCCGGGAATGCACTAGGACTGCACCACTGGGGGTGCCAGAAAGGGTGGTAGAACCCCCAAGGAGGGGCCACGGGGGCAGTCCTGGGACCAGCAAGGAGGGCTCTCCCAGACCAGTGCTGAGCTGTTGTGGCTGAACCGCAAAGGATACAGTCACTCCCAAAGATTCCATGGGAAGTGGTGAGAGAGAGAACATGCCTTCCCACCTCTTTCCACCTTCCAACTTCCTACTAGGGCTTCACATTGGCTGAACCTACCAAGGGAGACTAGGTTTGCAGGGGTCCAGGTCCTGTGCAGAGTAGAACACTGAAGGGCAAGAATGGTGCTGAGAATAAGTAGGCAGATAACCAGCACATCACATTTTCCAAATGTAATGATCTCACCAGCAACTTCCCCATAGTTCTCAAATTCAAGGTCTGCTCTCCTTCTCCCCCACAAACACACAGTGACACACTAATATATCCTTAATAACAAGCCTAGAACTCAGTAGTGGACCTTTGTAATTTTTTGTTTGCTCAGTACCTGAAACCTCTTTCTTTTTTTTTTTTTAAGATTTTATTTATTTATTTGAGAGAGAGAGAGAGAGAGCACATGAGGGGGGAGGGTCAGAGGGAGAAGCAGACTTCCTGCTGAGCAAGGAGCCCAATATGGGACTCGATCCTGGGACTCCAGGATCCATGACCTGAGCCGAAGGCAGTTGCTTAACCAACTGAGCCACCCAGGCGCCCTGAAGCCTCTTTCTATGTGGGGGGAGTTCTTCATTGTACAAAGATAAATTGATTTCCCAGCTAGATCCTTGATTTCCCAGCTTCCCCTGCAGCTAGGAGGTGGCACATGACCCAGGATCCACCAGTCAGGTTCATTTGCTCTTAGACTTGGAATTGAGTGCCAGTAACCCAAAGTAGAGACAGGGAGGTTCCATCCTGATGGAGAAGTAGCTTTATCTGTGTTCCAAGGGCCATAATAGTAGCTGCATCTGGGGTTCAGGGACATCCAGGTTCCAATGGCTGTGGCAACTGTGTCCTTGCTGAACTCATTCTATCATGTGATCTAGCCCTTATTCCTTACCCTTCTCAGGGATTTTGAGAACTCCCAAATCTTTTCAATAATTTCATTTTCTGCTTAAATCATCTAGAATTCTTGCCCATTGTTTGCAATCAAGAAACTTGACTAGCAGAAACTCCTTCATCATTTTGTGACCAGAGAATTTATATCTTGAGTCTAAAACTTATGGTTGCCCAAGGGTTTTAGGGAATTTTATCTCCTGCAATATCCAAGAGAAATAGGTAATGGCGGGTAAGCAGGCTCTATCCTTAAACCTTCCATAAGTCCTGAGGAGCTGGGATAAGCTTCCAGCCTCCGGCATCCAGAGGGGTAAGAGTATGCTATCTCCAGCCATGATGACCTTGCAGAAGAGAACCTTGTCTCGAGGATCAACTCAAAACTCAATGGTAGAGATAGGGTCATCTGCCTGCCTCTCCCACAGAAACATGCCATCCGGGAAGCTCTTGTCTCTGTTGCATCTTCTGCCCTCTCCCAGACCAACTACGGTCAGAAATGATTGACCTCGACCGCCGAGACCACGTCCACCCCGCGAGCACAGGCCCCTCACCCTCGCCGCTCCGCCGCTGCCACCACTGGTTTACACCACCCCCAGATCGCCATGGATGATGATATCGCTGCGCTCGTGGCCGACAACGGCTCCGGCATGTGCAAAGCCGGCTTCGCAGGCGACGATGTCCCCCGGGCCGTCTTCCCTTCCATCGTGGGGCGCCGCCGGCACCAGGGCGTGATGGTGGGCATGGGCCAGAAGGACTCCTACATGGGTGATGAGGCCCAGAGCAAGCGGGGCATCCTGACCCTCAAGTACCCCATCGAGCACGGTATCGTCACCAACTGGGACGACATGGAGAAGATCTGGCACCACACCTTCTACAACGAGCTGCACGTGGCCCCTGAGGAGCACCCCGTGCTGCTGACCGAGGCCCCCCTGAACCCCAAGGCCAACCGTGAGAAGATGACCCAGATCATGTTCGAGACCTTCAACACCCCGGCCACGTACGTGGCCATCCAGGCCGTGCTGCCCCTGTACGCCTCTGGCCGTACCACTGGCATCGTGATGGACTCCGGGGACGGGGTCACCCACACTGTGCCCATCTACGAGGGGTACACACTGCCCCACGCCATCCCGCGTCTGGACCTGGCTGGCCGGGACCTGACAGACTACCTCATGAAGATCCTCACGGAGCGTGGCTACAGTTTCACCACCACCGCCGAGCGGGAAATCGTGCGTGACATCAAGGAGAAGCTGTGTTATGTGGCCCTGGACTTCGAGCAGGAGATGGCCACTGCAGCCTCCTCCTCCTCCCTGGAGAAGAGCTACGAGCTGCCCGACGGCAACGAGCGGTTCCGTTGCCCGGAGGCGCTCTTCCAGCCTTCCTTCCTGGGCATGGAATCCTGTGGCATCCACGAAACGACCTTCAACTCCATCATGAAGTGTGACGTCGACATCCGCAAGGACCTCTACGCCAACACAGTACTGTCCGGGGGCATGTACCCCGGCCATGTACCCCGGCATCGCCGACAGGATGCAGAAGGACATCACCGCCCTGTCGCCCAGCACAAAGAAGATCAAGATCATCGCCCCCCCTGAGCGCAAGTACTCTGTGTGGACCGGAGGCTCCATCCTGGCCTCGCTGTCCACCCTCCAGCAGATGCGGATCAGCAAGCAGCAGTACGACGGGTGCGGCCCCTCCATCGTCCACTGCAAATGCTTCTAGGCGGACTGTTACTTTAGTCGCGTTACACCCTTTCTTGACAAAACCTAACTTGCGCAGAAAACGAGTTGAGATTGGCATGGCTTTATTTGGTTTTTGAATTGTCTTTTTGTTTTTGGATTTTTTGGGTTTTTTTTTTTTTTTTTGGCGCTTGACTCAGGATTTAAAAAACTGGAACGGTGAAGGTGACAGCAGTTGGTTGGAGCGAGCATCCCCAAAGTTCTACAATGTGGCCGAGGACTTTGATTGTACATTGTTGTTTTTTTTTTTAATAGTCATTCCAAATATTGTGAGATGCATTGTTACAGGAAGTCCCTTGCCTTCCCAAAAGCCACTGAGGAGAAGGGCCAGTCCTCGCCCAAGTCCACAGAGGGGAGGGTGATAGAATTGCTTTTGTGTAAATTATGTAGTCCAAATTGTTTTTAATCTTCACCTTAATACTTGTTCTTTTTGTTTTATTTTGAATGGTCTGCCATCATGGCCCCCCTTTTTTTGTCCCCTCCAATTTAAGATTTATGAAGGCTTTTGGTCTCCCTGGGAGAGGGGCTGAGGCATGGAGGCAGCCGGGGCTTTCCTGTACACTGACTTGAGACCCGTTCAATAAAGTGCACACCTTAAAAAAAAAAAAAAAAAAGGAAGGAATGATTGACCTCTGTTCCCTTGCAGTTTCAGAACCTCCAGCCTCCTTGCAGTATTAGCCAAGGATCTCCCAAGGGTAGGATACTTGCCCTGCTCCTCCTATTCCAAATCATCATCTATTTAATTAGTCATCTACTGCTGCATCATAAATCAACTCCAAACCTCACGACTTAAAACAACAATAGTCATTTATTGCCTTTCACGGTTTCTGGGACCAGGAATAAATTCAGGGCACAGTAGGAATGGTTTATTTCTGTTTCACAATGTTTTGGGGCCTCAGCTAGAAAACTCAGACTGGAGGCCTCATTCACCTGAGGGCTCATTCACTCAAAAGTTTGCTGATAGAAGCTGGCTGTAGGCTGGGGTCTAGCTGGGGCCATAGATTGCATGGCCTCTCCATGGTTCAGGCTTTCCTCAACATGGTAGCTGGATTCCAAGAGCCAGTTTGCGTTGCCTTCTACGATCTAAACTTGGAAGTCACCGGGCATCACTTCCACCACATTCTGTTGGGCAAGGCAGTTACAAAGATCCATCCTGTTCTGTGGCAAGGGAACAGAGACCCCACCTCTCAGGAGTGTCCCTGTCATGTTGTCGGATAAGCTTGTGGAATAAGACACACATTGGTGTGGCCATCTTGGGAACATAGTTTCTGCCCCAGCCACCTTTAGTAATTCCCAGGTTAAGAAGGTCTCTCTGGACTCCTTCTCCTTGGATCATGCAACAACTCACTCTGCACCTGCTATACCCTCCATGAGTACAGAACGCCCTATATCCATCCACCTTCTAAGAGGGAGACTACATTCAGTGAGTCCCAGATAGTCTTCTGAATCCTTCTTCTAAAGAAAAACAAATAAATGCAAATGTCATTTTAACAAGGCTCCCTGTCATACAAGTGAACCCAAAGATACTAATTTCAATAACGCCTCAGAGCTCCAAACTGCTTTCAAGTTCACATTGTGCTTTTGCTTGCATAGACTCATTTAATCAATAAACTCCGAGATGCACTTTTCTGATGAAAAAAGGGAAGTAACCAAAACTACACAATGTTAAGTACAAGCGTGGCTCGAAAATCACTCATGCTACACTTCCCCAGCTCTCTTCATGAAGACCCAACCCCTCTGGAGCTGACGCCTCGGCATAAAACATGTGGTATATGAGCAAGCTTGTGGAGGTGGGAGAAGAAGCCAGGTAAGATGGCGGCTTACATGACTAGAGGGGGCCCCCACAGACCTGAGTTAGTGTTCCCAAACTGGCAGGAGCTGGATCATTGGCAGGTGGAAAGGCACCAGATACACTGCCTGCGTTTTTAGCCCTCAGGCAAAGCATCAGTGATCCAGTGCTGAGAATGTTCCCTAACACTCTCCCATGGCCCTGCTCCCTCCATCCTTCTGCTGTAGGCCAGGCCTTACAAGGGCAAAGTGGTGTCACGGAAGTCAGAACTGGGTGCAAAGTCTGGGCTGCTCAAAACATAGAGCTTCTAGGCCCTGATTTTGGTCACTGTGGGTTTCTACCCTGGCTTGCGCTCGTCAAATAGGAGTCACTTGCACTCGTCAAAAAGCTTGAGTTATTGATACTGAAACTCGAAACGGACTCCCAGTGGTAAATGAAAATAGCGGCTATCCTTTGCAAGTGCTTAGTTTGTGCCAGTCACTGAACTCTGACTTTCATAGATATTATTTAATTCATTTAACCAAACTGATTAATCAAGCACATGTTCTTGAGTCTGTACCATGGTGTCCTGGAGCTTATGTCCTTTGAGGTATGTGCTATTAGAGCTAGGACTAAAACTAGCTCCGTGGGATTCTAGAGCCTGACACATTAACCACAAAGCCATAGAACCCCATCCCGGTAACACATGTCCTCCGTGACCCAAGGGGCTGGTGCCACATGTCCAGAGGTTCATCTCAGGCCACAGGGCTCAGCAGGTGGATATAAGAGTTTCCATCCTGGTGATCTGCAGAGACAACTCAGAGGAGGGAAATGGAGAAGCTCAAGAGGCCCAGGCTACATAGAAAAGATGCTGGAGGGACCAGGCAGGCCTGGATTTCAGTCCCAGCTCTGCCACTTATTAACTGTGTGGGCTTGGATGAATTATGCCACAAATTAAGGATAAATTAAGGAGAAAGATAGTTCTACATCAGTTCAGGTCAGGTTTTGCTATAAAAACTGCAAGTTTATATCAAAAACAAACAGATGAGTTCCAAACCAATTTTTTTTAACGTTCTATTTTCAGGGCATTTGGATTTTCGGAATTATGGAGGAGGAGTGTAAACAAGATGATTTTAAATAGTGATACAGGCGATGAAGACAATCAAAGAGGGAAATGCAATCCGGAGTGAGGTAGGAACAGAGCAGCTCGGGTAAGGTGGGTATTCACCCGAGGCCCCCTGCACAGCCTTCCCCCCACACACCTTCATGTCACCTTCTTGTTCCCTGAGAGGCAATGTTGTCACTTCCCTTTTACAGACCAGGAATGGGAGAACTGGTACCATCAAGAGCCTCATTCTAGGCCAGCATTCCCCAAACCCCCACAAGCAAGTACCAAGCATGGCTTTGCCACATTCCCATACACCCTGCTAGTCCTTAAGCTTCTCCTTTTAATCATATCAGTTGTTTTAAACTACATACATTTATTTTTAAAGGAAGCATTATAGAACCACCAAAAATGGAAAAATAGTATCTTTGTAGTGCACATAAAATACATAGCTCTTAACATCGTTCAGTATTTGCCTCGGCACCACCTAAACATCATCTGTGTTCCTCATACTTTGAGAAATGCCAACCTAGGCCAACAAGTGGGCCCAGCTTCAACCCGATTCTCTTCCTCTTGCCCAGCACTGCCCTTCTAGACCAGCATGGCAGCAACGACTAACTGGACCCATTTCACCAGCTCACCGCATCTCAGGACCAATGGGCACCTTCACCTTCCAGGGACACGTCCAGAATGGGCTCCGGAGAAGAAAGCTTGCCACCAGGCACTGTACCAAGTGCTGTCCCCACAGAGCCTTGTGGCACCTTCAAACCCTGGGGGAGATGCCACTGCTACCCTCATTCCACAGAAGAGGACACCAAGACAAGGGGAGGCCAAGGTCACACAATTACCAGAGGCAAAGGTGGAATTCGAATTCAGGTCTCAGGCCTCCAAAGCTCGCACTCAGCTTTGACAGTCCCAGCCTTCCCTAATGTCATCCTCATCCTCCCTTTGGCATTCCAGAGCACTCTGCTCCACCACCACTGCACTAAAATCCTGACCCGGCAGCTGGCAGGTGTCCTGCGTGTGTCCTCCTCACCCACCAAACTATGAGCACCTAGAAAGCACGGCCCAGGTTTTCATGCTCCCAGAAGACTGTAAGATCCATGAACCAGGGAACATTGCTGCCTTGTTCAACATAGTACAGTGCCTGATACCCACAGGAGTTGTTCAGTAAATCTTTGTTGAATCAATGAATGGATAATGGACAAAGGGATGGCTGGGTGTCCACCCGTGATTCTGGTACCCCACTACCCAGCACAGGGCTTAGCACACACATGGATCTCCATAAAGATTTGTGGAATCAATAAATGACACTCCTGTGACTTGGAGATTTAGCAGAACTAAGATTTTAAATTCCATTTTCTAGAATTGGATACATTTTAAACGGGGCGTTCTTCTGCTTAAGTAAATAAATAAGCAAACAAGCACCAACAGGCAAAGGAATAAGAGAGAACACTTTCCAATTCAGTTACTCAAGATCAGTGTAGAGAAACGTAAAACCTTAAAAGCCTTGGATCTGAAACCAAACCTGAGCCTGAAAGGAGGCACCTTTTCAGCGACATGTTTCCACCAGAACGCTCACTATAATTCCCAGATCGCGCATCAGTTCCCCAGAGGCTGATGACACCGACCAATGCTAAGTGATTAAATGTGTTCCTGGAATTCTCAAGTGTTCCTTCTGACTCAGATGGAAGGTGTGTGCTCAGGGAAGAGAGGACACATCTGACGATTTATTGTTCAGTGAATGTGGGTGTGGAAGGGTGGGGAGGAAAGGTAGGGACACCACGAGTCCCTTATTTTGCGGGATTTGGAAACATAATATGATGTGGAACCAAATGCATATTGAAGAGCACATTAAGTCCTCTGTCAAATCTACTCTGGTTTTATGATGTGATCGTCTCAGGGTAATACACTCATCAGCCTCGCTCCACTGGGATCTCAAATGTAACCACCCCCTCGACAAAATTCTCAAGGACAGGGAGCACTGCCCAGCACAGGGCAGGAAAAGCACCTTATTTCTCTTAGTCACCACGATGGAAAGATGCAGGACTGTTGCACATATTCAATGAGATCGTGGGTAAAACACTTATCTCAGTGCCTGGTCCATCAGAATCCAAGAATTCCTTTCTGTGATAATGAAAGAGTTCCACAGAAGAATCTGTCCAAGTCCCAAATAATTATTTACCTGATATGGGCAATTTGAAGCAATTAGAATTGGGGCAATTTGGAAATTGCTTTCATTTCCTTCCTTTTTTTTTTTTTTTTTTTTTACTCCCCAGCAACCCTTTATGGCCAGTTGGCAATGGCTTTATTGTCCCCATGCAACTGAAGTAGAAATCAAGGCTCAGCCAGTCAAGCCACTGATGCAAAG